AGAGAGAGAGAGAGAGAGAGAGAGAGAGAGAGAGCGCGCGCGCGCGAGAGAGAGAAAGGGGGAAGGGGAAGACGGAGACAGAGGTGAGACAGCACGCACGCGGGTTTCAACCATAGAACTAGTACTAGAAGTCTTCTATTTCTAGTTCTATGGTTTCAACTACCATGCCCGCGATAGCACGTTTACGCCCATAGTGCACCAGTGGAGCGCAACCATTTGCAAGCGGTAATGCAGGTTTTTTAACATGATTTTACTTTAACTTTACAGTTAACTTTAAATGGTTAATTTTACATTGTTGCGCTACATCACAACTTTACACTACCGCGAGAGCAACGTGTTTGTGGCTAACTACACGTAGATAAACACATACACTGATGAACGTATAGGGCTACATCATTTTATAACGATCGTTTTTTTCATTTAAATAACAGTCAGCCTAAACTATGAAACGTTTATCCACTAACTAATAAACATACAAAATTTTTACTAATTTTAACTACTAACTATTAAACGACTTAATAATGCAGAAATGTAGGCTGTTAAATTTAGCTTTATTACTTTACATAAATTGGTCAGTTGTGGCGGATTGCTAGAATAAGAAACACCGAAAACAGCAGAAGCAAAAAGAAATAGTTCGTTACTCGTTTCTCGCTCGTAGGTCAGTGCTTGCGCCGATGTCTTGCTATCTGCAACTTTAGCTTTTCCTTTAACAAATGTGTAAACGGCGCTGAACCCCTGAGCTTGGTGATCTTTGTTAGAGTGAAACAAGACCTTTAACCTGCAGCAAAACGATTGACAATTAAGAAGCGTAAAATTATTCATGAATCGATTGCGAATTAAAATGTAAAGATGTAGTTTACTAAATGCAATACATTAATTGTGCGTTCAATAGAATAGCTTCTAATGCCATTTAAATATTAATAGAGTGAATGAGTTGCACGCATTAGAATTTATTGAATGTTTTCCTCGGTATCACTTTTTTGAAAGAAACCTAATTGCTTCGATCAGTACGATTTAGTACCCACAATATAGTTATTGCCGGTAAGCCAGGCAGAAAGAAAGATCAATGGGCCACAGTTTACACCAGCTAGCATAGAAACGGTAAGAAGTACTACAATGGAATTTCGTTTCCTCAAACTCAAATGATGGCATATTGTCTATAGATATAGAACAGCGAATTGAGGCACCAGTGGGTCATTTTTAATATTTTTTTAAATGTAATCTTTAATTATAACAGACGCCTCTTTAAAAATAATATTGCCAGATGCCTAAAATAACTAAAATTGTTCTTGCTATCATAATAAAATGCACTGTTTTATACCAGCAAAAACTACTGTAATAAATATGTCCATATACTGTCAATAGCTAAAATATAGAAGTTTTAATTGAAGAATAAATAAATTAATATAGGCACCTTTCAAACTTCAACTATGAGACCTGCCCCTTTTAATAATCAATTACCTTGGTGAGGTATCGTGTAATATTATGTAGATATTATTAGATAGATTAAGTAATATACAATAATTGTCTTCTCTATGCAAATAATTGTCTTCTCATTATGTTTTTAGAATTATTTTATGCCAATCCTCACCTTGAAACTCCTGGCTCTGAAATCCACGGCCCTGGTGTAAGCGATTTACAGTATCGACCTACTCTCATTTCCCTGTCCTTAGGTGAGTCTGACCAGATTTGATATATCTCCACCCAGTCGTCCTGACAATATTCTGTGCCATGAGGATACACCCTACATTCCATTAACAATAAAAATTTACTTACTTTTATAGTTCAAAGCAAATGAGGAAAACGATAAAGATATTTTATATATATATATATATATATATATCTAAAATCATTGACGCCTACTACCAAGTGAGCAAAATGGTATATTAACTGCGACAGCAGAACTCGCTCGTGCGAGTATTATAAAGAAACAAGCGTGTCGAAGAGAAAAAAACACACAAAAATGACATATTACCCGGGTGGTGGATCTTCAGATGCCAAGTCAAACTTGACGAATCGAATGCGAATGAGCTGGTTAGGGCTGGCAACGAAGTTGTATATGCAGTCCGTTATGCTAGGATATTTATGCGGATGGCGTGGCGAAACGAACGCTCCCGTTAACTCCTGACTTTTGCCAGAGTAAGTGAAACAACATTGTTGAGGGGATCCTTCTGTCACATCGTTTTGTGAACACAATGTGCCTGGTATACCGTAGTCTGAAAGCCAAAAAGACGCGGACGATTTGCATCATGTGCTAAGTGAAAAACACCAAATCTACTACAATTTCGAAGAAGTTTACGTTCTTCCACTGATGGGTTGTTTGCTGATGATGATTTGCCATAGCCGGTCAATGTTACCTGGCTGGCATTTTACTCTAACAGCTAGTGAAGTTAATATAAATACAACTATAAGCAGTTCCACCTGTAAACATGACTGAACGAGCAGACATTGGACGCCACCCCTGCTGTGAGCGTCCCTCAGTTTCCGTTTATTACCGGATTCAATTTACATTTCCTAAGGCTGATGTGATGCATAGCATAGCGATGTTCTGTGGATAATATGCTATATATTGGTACGCCGTAAGACCTCATAGTATGTGGGCTGGCGGTATTTTACCTGCGAGCTAGCATGCGCCTGCCAAGAATGCAGATTCGTGTAATTGCATTGATTAGTGAAATTGCATTAGCAACTGCTGCAGCGTTTACGACACGCTGAAGCCGGTATGTGGTTTGTTCCGTAGCTAGATTTGCAACAACCATCCCGAACAGTCTGTAAGAGAAGACTGTTCTGAGAAGTTGTGTTTAAAAGAGGGGTGGTTGGTATGTCGCGTATAAATAACCCACAAGGAAATTAACGTGGATAAACAAATTTCTCCGTACCTACCGCGTACCTACTTTTCCCGTCCCTCTTCGCTCCTTTCACCCTTCTCCTCTCGCTCGGTCTCTATCTCTCTTTATTCTCCTCTTTCTCATCCTATATCATTCCCACTCTCCTCGTGGAAATACTATTACTACATTTATCATTAAGTAAGATCCGTTACCAATCCACCTTTACCAGTACCACATCAAAACGAATTTTGATAAATTCGGACAGCTGATGCGTTTGTAGCGCAAGTAGTATATTTATAAATATAGATATATATTTATATATATATATATATAAATATATATCTATATTTATAAATATATATATATATTTACCCTGATTTATATATAAATGTCATATCTTTTGATGTACTGGTATCGTATCATACAGGCAGGCTGTTTGTAGCCTACACTGTATGTTGAGTAATTAGCGCGTCAATGCCATGAATGCCGGCGCTCGATATACAAGCATGTGTTCTCACGCGCAAAGCAGGAGCAGTTATTCACACCATTGATCACCACATCATTGATACACCATGATAGTATGTTACGTTACGTTATGGTTACGTCACGTTGTAGAGATACGTCACGTTGGTGTATAGAGATGAGTGTATAAGAGCAGCATTATTGAGTTGCGATGTATCGTACATACGGCGCTGCATACCAGATAGCGAGAATCTCTGCGCTCTACCGCACTGTTGCCGCAGCAGCTGCCGGATGCGCTATCGGGAATCCTATATCACCGGCGACAGCTATGCAGAGACACGCTCGGTAATGGGCCACATACTAAATACACCGATTCTATTCTATTCTAACTAATCTCACCATGCAGCGCAGAGGCGGATCCAGAGGGTTTGGGTGACCAGTTTCCATAGTTCTAGTCACAGCTAGGGGGGTCCGGGGGCATGCCCCCCGGGAATTAAAAAAAAATTAGGCTATATTTGGTGCATTCTGGTGAATTTTGAGGGTCAATTCTGAAGATACCCAGCCTGTGACCGGTTTCTGGAAACCGGTGCAAACCGGCCTAAATCCGCGCCTGCAGCGTACATCCGTGTAAATCACATCGTTAAAATAAATAATAACAATCTTCGTTTGAGCCACCCTGAGAAGAATTGTTTCGTTATTATACCTGAACAATTGTTAATCAATTAGGGAGCACGCTCGGTTAAATTGGTACTTTTGCAGCCGCATTAATGTACTGGTTTTCAGCCATTCTGATACACACAGTGCACAGAAAACGCAGCGTGAATCGACTCCGAGCATAGACTCGGCTTGCTTCAATTCACTCCCTGATAGCACCTCTACACTAACTGTAATGGTTGTGGAGCAGTGCATGCAGTGAATATAAAGCCAGTGATTCTCCCACCTCGGCGTGCAGCTATTTGTTTACACTGCGTTGGAAAATAGCTTCACGATTTACCGTCATTGTGCTGTCTGATGGTGCAACATATCCCTGGAGATTTTAAACACCGCATAGACGTACTATCATTATAAACCTCAATACATTTACCTATATAGCTTTTGTGGCATATCCATCCAGTTTAAATTATCCATTTCTTTACTATACGCATATGTAATGTCTATGGACCAACAAAAAATCGATTATATTATAGAACCAACGTCATTTGTTAACCTTTACTCCTATGGGAAAAAAATCTGCTTCCCTCGCTTAGTAGAGTCGTTTCGCGTGGTTCTGGCGTTTTACAGAAATGAGATCAACCTGGTGTGGGAGAGTTAGAGGTAGACGAGAAGTTGAGGTGAGGAATGGATCACCCAGAGAGTAAGATGAAGAATAGATTAAAGAGTGAGAGGTTGAATTAGAAGGAAAAGCAGAGAAAGATGGATATGATGGATTGATACAGAGAGCGAGATGGAAAGGTTGAAGGAGAAGAAGAAAGGGCCGGGGATGGAAAGGGATCGAGGCAGATGAAGAGGTAGAGCAAGAGGGCTACTAGAGGTATAGATCTCGATTAAAAACAATAAATATAAAAACTACTCTTGAATTTTATTAACAGTACCGCGTTGTGTTATTATTTATTAATTACTTTACTATCTCTACCATCTCTACGCATTAACCTCCCACACCGAAAACAGAGAAATTATAGCGTACAATATTACAATATTTTATCTCCATTAAAGCCTATACCTGTTAGAAATGAGTATTGGGCTTTGAATCCCCAACCAGACGAGTTTCCACTATGTAACACCATAAGTAAACGAGGTCCTTTAGAAATGACGGGGTGGAATGTGTAGTTTCCACACCACTGGTGGTTTGGCATTCCTTCGGTGTCATCACCATTCAGGTAGAATGCAACATAGCCATCATTACACCTACAAAAATGAGTCTGCAATGTCATCTACAACTTACAAAAACGCAATCACGACACACACACGCGCGCGCGCGCGCACACACACGCGCACGCGCACGCACACGCACACGCACACGCACACGCACACGCACACGCACACGCACACGCACACGCACACAGTTACACACACACACACACGCACGCACGCACGCACGCACGCACGCACGTGCGGCGCGCGACACACACACACACACACACACACACACACACACAAGCACGCCCGCATGCGCGCACACACGTGTACAATCATCATATGCACGCACACCCGCGCGCGTATACACACGTGCACGTACGCACTAACACGCACATACGCGCACACACACATACACACAAATATACTTATACTTATAGATAATTTACAGTATTTCAGGAAGCAACTTACTTTCCATAAGCATCTCGTGGAATGTTGAATTCTCGGAAGACTAGATTCACCTTTTCCAGATTTTGGTCATCATTGAGACCGTCTACCAGGTACTTGCACACGCGCCCGGGCATATACTTCCGGGGATAATTAGGAGAAATGATTGTGCCATTGGAGATGCCACGGCTTGGGATTCGTTGATCACACTCAGTGCCTCGCACATGATATTCTGGCAGGCCGAGAAAATCTGCGCGTACGGTACAGAGAGATTTTTATGCGTGTTGGCATCGTTGAACGTTTTTTTATTCGTACCACGTGTACGATGTAGTTTTTGACGGTGACCTTACTAGCGACCATGAATATATCACATTGGTCTTTTCCATCATATACAAAAGGTTCGAGCAATCAAACACAAGTAATCCATCAGAATCAAGAACATCAATTTTTAGTTTTTGATTTTCGGATATTTTCGGATAATTTTCGGATATTTTAGGATAAACTGTGAATACCTGTGATAAGTGTATGCTGTGGACGTTTATAAGAAGTTGTAACAAATTAGATTCTTACTGGATCTGAAAGACCATGTCATGGAAATCATGAAATCTAACATTTTAGTCGCCAAACTTTGAGTATGAAAACTGTTAGTGAAGCCGGTCAGATTGCGACTAGTACACATTTAGGACTACAAGTTGCACGATGACGTTCCCTTTTTACGGAAACCCATGAAATTACCATTGGACCACGTGAGACTTCGATCTTGTGTTTTGATTTGCTGATATTATTTACGCTGCTCATATCCCCTAGATGACGAATATGTACATCACAGGAACAGCAATTTACATTTTTGAGCCGAACTTGATGAGAGACAGGGGCACACTATCACATTTCCCCCCACACAAATAGATTGATATTATGAAACTAATCTAAAAGGTCTATCTCGCTACGTCTTTGAAATCATGCTGGAAGTAATTGCTTCCCATTTTATTAACGGCATCAAAAGATTTGACTTACTTAAGCTTACAAACTCAGAGCTGAATTTGAAATGAATGTTGAAGCCCAGATTTTCTGAATCCGGAGCCTTTGATGAGTGGAATTCTAAAAATAGGTTTTCTTTCGTAGAAAAGATAACTTTTCCCCGGTGCTTGTATCCGCACAGCATAGTGTTGATGAGAGGGGCATCGGTAGAACGGCCATCGTGTACTTTTAGCCAATCATACGGACAACTGTAACACAACATATTAATGTTCATTACGCCCATGTGATGTATCACTTAAATTAACGTGCTTTTCATATGCACACGGACGGCCCAGTACCACACTGATCCATTTGTCTAAAGGTCCCTTCCAAATTTCATGTATAACCGAACTAACGAACAATCCAACTTTTCCAATTACATGAGGAAAGGATGCACCGCATATGGTGACACGTGATATAGAACCTTGGCTATAGGCATAAGTTGTGTCTGACATGCATGCACCCGCATCAATCATATTTAGGGAGTGAAGCTAATAAATCAATACAATAAAAAATACTATGCATTCTTTCCCATTATTCCGATCATTGCGTCACTGCCATATCAAAACATGAAATTGTCGAAAATGATTGGTTAAATTGTTACTTACTGTGGTCCTCCATAGTACAGATCAAAATCGTCAAATATTAACTGTATTCTCTGCAATGGGTTTCCTTCTAAGCTGTAGGTGCAGTGAAGATTGTTTGGGTAAGCACCAGGGTATGTGGGCGAGAGAATCTGTCCCTCGGAGTATGCTGCAGCTGTAATGGTCTGGTCGCATATTGTTCCTGGAGCCTTTTCTCCAACGTGATACCGCTCTAAATAAATGCATGCACGATGCAAACCTTATGAAAGAAATGTTGCAGGACAATCGTTGACAGAATCCCACTAACATAATTACGTACAGTCACAGTGTATAACAAAAAGAAGCCTGCATATTCCTGCCTAGATTTTGTTGGATACTGGATATTGCTCCAGCAGCTGCAACGCTTATTAGAAATGCACCTGTCACTAAGAATAGGCTCCTGTATGATTCTAGCTGACTCTAATCACATTTATACACTTCTTTTGTGAGCACTCCTTCCCTCTACAATAATCTTTAATTGGCCAGAACACAGGTAGACAGAATTCCGAAAGGAACTTACCATCTTTCATGAAATGATACGATGCGTTGAATCCCCGCTCTTGCACATTGTCGTTGCTGTAGAATCCAACGATAATGATGTTGTAGAGCGATATGCGCGTCCGCGGAGCAATGCGCCCGCAGTACCTGCCGCTAATTGTGGTCTCTGCATCCTCCAGTCGGATCTCTGGTTGCTGCAGTTCAGCATAGATGTCGACGTAATCTTCATGGCATCTCCTATAGGGCGACGTTAGAGGGATTTGTAGGCAGATGTTTCAAGAACCAGCCGCTAGGCACCCGGATTTAACTACGTTGTGGGCAATGCGTTTAAAAGGTTAATGCATATATGTAGTGTTGACAGATTCGTATGGATGTATTGAGCAATACCGAATCTTGTTCTTTATTCGTGTTTCTTTTCAAAAATGACGTGTATCCATAACTCTGCTATTAGATCGATTTTACTCTCCGTTTGAAATATGTTGGCTGCTGTATGAGCTAAAACTTCACGCAAAACATTCTGTTTTTACAGAAGCTGCCCCACAGGCTACTTAAACGTGATGTTTACTGGAAAACATCAATGCGAGTTGAAATACGTTGAAAGGGAGTTTTCTGCAGTCAATAATCCATGCAATACGATTTTAGAATTTTCACATACCAACAATAAGTACTCAGCATGCATGTGCACTGTTAGGCGATGTTCACTTAAAAAGAGACTAATGTAGCGAATTCAGCTGGCTGGGCGCAATTACAATATACTGATGGTATGTGGCTTATGATGTGGACCATGTAATATTTACACCGATGGATCTATAACTTTCGCTGGACCTACTCTGCAGGGTTTCCTTGAAGAACGAAATCATCAAAATCAACCTTCACTCTCTCACTAGGCAAAGCAATGAACTTGTATAGGCACTGCAAAACAGTAAAAATTAAGAGAATATTATTATGCTTGTTATACCACAATCAAGGTGTTCGCATTCTATAAGACTATAACACAAACGGCCATTAACCTGTTAATAAACTCTCACATTAGATTCACAACCGCACATAGCAAATTTGATAAATATTCTAAGCTTAGGCCTACGTACAAGATTCAAACTTTATAGATATCATTGCCAATAAAAAGATTCCAGTTATTTTTACATAATTAATTTTCGTTATTCGATCTAAGAATATTACCTGCATCTGTGGTTGGTAGTTGTTAGGATAGTATGGTGACATAAATGTACCGCTTTTAGTTTTGGAACCCTCCCTGCTCCTAAATTCTTGATCACAATCTATAATGTATCATTCAAATATTACTTAATTAAAAAATATATACAAAACACAGTTCTAACCGCATTCTACAGTATTAGGCGCCTTGTAATGAATAAATCACATTATTGGGCGCCTTGTAATTAAGAAAGTGAAAGATGGTTTTTCTGTCAAATTACTTGTGGGTATGTTCTGCCTATTTTACGTGTATATATGGTTCCACCAACTAATATTTCGTTTGACACACAGGGTATGCTTGAACACGGATCATACCTAATTCTACAGTAAAGAAAGATTTGAATGGATTGCGCGTCTGATATTTAAAAAAAACATCATTGACAGACATTTTTTAATATGTTACACTGCACGTTAGTATCGAGATCTCTACGCTTAATTTCAACCAAATATTATTTCGTAATTAATTTCTTGTGAGTAGGTATGTGCTCTTTGCTTAAATGTGTATTAACATTTTAACAAAATGATTTTTCTGCTGGACAGTATTGGATATCTGAAACACATCTCTCGCCCTATGGTACGGTTTAGGGAATCCGGGAAGACTGCCTGTCATTTTTATAATAAACTACTCGTAGGTATATGTGCGCTCTTATAATAATTTTGACAAATTGTTTTTTAGCCAATACTGGGCGTGTTCGAATATCTTCATGTTTCGAGAAATAAACTTGTAGCATAATATTACGGTGAAAGAAGAATTTTGTTACTTTATTTGTTACATACCCGCATCACCTTGTGTTACCCTACTGACTCACCGTCATTTTCTCCTTTAAGTTATGTAAACTGTAAGTCACGGCGTTTAGGTTTGTGACTGTATAGCGCAAATGCAGAATGCCCGTCTCATTGCGCGTCTATAGGGAAGCCTGCGGACTGTGACCCTCGCTCGACCCAGCGACCGTGCTTCAACTCCACACATATACAAACACCGGAAATGGTGTTATTAGTCACGGCAATATATATATATATATATATATATATATATATATATATATATATATATATATATATACATACATGTATATATGTATGTGTGTGCATGTTCGTGCGCGTGCGTGCATGGCGTGCGTGCGTGCGTGCGTGTTGCAGCTTACACGTTTCAAGATCAGACGAATCTCCGTTGCCGCAGTATTGGACATCCTTGCCTCTGCATACCAGTTCCTTGCTTATGCAATAGCCGTTGCGCTTGCATTTAAACCCCGTCGTACATTGTTGATCTACCACGATATATTAAAATGTATGAGATAACTCATAACTCTTTATTTTGTAGAACTGATGAATAATTAAAATTCACACAAAAAATGCGCTTGATATTTCTTAGAAAATCCACAGATTCATCATCATCATCATCATCATCATCATCATCATCATCATCATCATCATCATCGTTGCAATGGAAAGAAGTTCTGAAATTATTACGGGCAAGTGCCAAGTTGATAAATTACTCAATGAGTATGCACTTTCCCGTAATAATGTTAGAACTCCTTTTCTCAACTTTTCATATGCATATTTGATGACTGGTTGACTGGATCTATTTCATTTCTGCGTAGATGTTTTCATAACAGTGTAGTTTTTACTGTAGTACGACTATAGCAAATTATACTGGACAGCTGAGGTCTTGTATGCAGAACCACTATAGAGGCAGTGGTAATCAAGTAAACGAACGTTTAATCAATACCATTGATTAGTTCTGTCCACGTTGCTCGGAAGCCTTGCGATCCCGTGGCTTTGTCTGATGATGTAAACCTGCAATCAATGTTATTTATCGATAAACCAATAACTTATAATTAAATGGTAATTATTTCGTTAAATACAATAAACCCGTCTTACGTATCATGCTGAAATATAATTCAATCGTAATTCAAAGGCGTTGACTTGTTTGTTCCAGAGTTTTTCACAATGGCGCTATTCGTCCTTAAATTTACATAAATCTCAAAGGAGGTATTTGACCAGCTGATATACTATTAGGCTATTAGCAATATAAAGCCCAGCGCACACGTGAGTAATTTTATTCAAGTAAAATAATGCATGCGTCAAAATACTCACCTGTGTGCCGGATTTTCGTTGAGTTTTCTGACGCACGCATCAAGAAACTCAATAGCAAACGTGTTTGATAATTTTTGACTCATGCGTCAAAATACTCAACGTGTGCGCGCTACCTGCATAAATTTACTCAACACTGGTCCTCACAGCGCATGCGTTTAAATCATTTTAAAGATGACTGCGCCCAGTATTGGCTGCGCACAATCACGTGATATACATTACCACTTATACCTTGAGTAATTTTACTCACGTGTGCGGCGGACGCTGAATATATTTCGCGTGAGTATTTTCGCATGCATCATTTTACTTGAGTAAAATTACTCACGTGTGCGCCGGGCTTAAGACTCATTAACATCAGTGTAATACGCATAACAATGGAATAATTACGCTCAAAATGTAGTAAATCGATGAGACTGCATGCCACAAAATAATTTTTTGCTCAAAACATTTGGCTGGAAGCTTTTATGACATATTCGCATGAATAAATATATTCAAGTGCCTCTAACAAGCTTTCTGCAATAATACATTGTTGAGGAATGTGACCGGCCATTTTGATAAACACACATACGTGACTCTCATCAGATTTCCCGTGGATGTGAAGTTTCTGAAAAATTCAGCTAGGTCTTCCCCACAAAACTCAGCTGTGGGAGTGAAGAGATCGCTGCTATTGGTGAACACCCGTACGGCAGCTCCTTGACAGCCCACCTCACCTGTTCATACGTGAGACAAGCGTTACACATTAACCTACTCATCATCATCGAGTGTGCGTGCACATCGCGGCAAAACAAAGAAGCTACCTATGCGACCTACATAAAGCTCATATCTTGTTTTTATCTTGTTCTTACAATTTTGTACGCATTATTAATTTGTATGCACAAAAGAATAAGCAGTCATTCGTTCTTAATTGTAGTCATTAATTACAGCACGTTTAAACTGTAGGTATACATAAAGAACAAATGACAATAAATAAATTGATTATTAAATTGATAAATTGATAATAAATAAAATAATTGAGAACACGTGCAGGCTATACAGGTTTCTCTAAATGTAGCACCTACTTGACATAAGGCCTTCCACTGCTTTCCATAGTTTATGCGAGAAGAAGACTAGGAGCTTATTTCCTGGATTGGCACGTATCTCCCAACTGCAGTGTGTTTTCACAGTGTATTTCGTTCGGCCATACTGCGGAGTCTGGAATGTTCCACCACCCTTGTCCAATATTCCGCCACAAGCTGTAGAAATAGAATTTATAACGCTAAGTTAAAAAGTAAACAATATTTATGCTTTATTAGAATATAAATTGTACTATTCCCGTGTACAAATACTATTCATCTCGAAATCGATAGCATTATTGCCAATATCAGCAAACTTCAAGCATTGATGGCTGAATGTGCTTGCCTGCAGCTGCTAATATGGAAAGTGTGCGCGCGCTTTTGATTACACATTCAATCAGCACAATTATCAACTGCGCATATTTGGCTGTACGTTTGTGTGAGTGCGTGAATGTGCGCGCCTGTGTGCGACTGTCAATCCATCCACGTATACTAACGCGCACGTGTGACAGAGACGGCGACAAAGAATATATACATTCCGAATGTAAAACATTTGGGTGGGCAGATTTGTGCCGCTATTGTTAGGACGCGTACTCTGCCAATGTGAATTCTCGGATAAGCTAAACTCTAATAAAATAAGGCTAAATAAACATGAGCTATATGTTCATCTTTCCTATTATATAAATGATATTTATATGCCCGCTAGTCCATCGATGTTAACTGCTTGTCTTGTCTGTACCCTCGTCTATCGATTTACTTATCAGTTTGATCATCCCTCCGTGTACCCGGCCACCCGTCCATCTATTCATCTATTTATTCATTCATCCGTAATCAACGGTCCTTTTTTATTTTAATTGCGGGTCTACATCTGCTACGCCCTTGCGGCCATTTTTCCATATACTTTTTCATTTGTCTATACGGCCACTCATCAACCTAGATCTGCATGTTTAACCATCCTCCGGACGAACAACCGCCCACCCGCCCATCTATCATTCTGTTTGTCCACCCCTTTGTATGCCCACCCAATCATCCGCCCATCTGTTCGTCTGTCGCCCTCCGTCCGCCCAAGCGCGTCTAGGACACACTAGCGACTAGGACACACTATATAGCGTCTAGGACACACTAGCGATTCTGTACGCTGCCTGGCAGCGTATATTTTCGCTCACGATTTTAAGCTGGGGGCACACGAGCGTATTTTTTCGCCCGATCGCGGCGAATTTTAAAATCGCTCAAAAAATTCGCCCGTGTGTCCGTTCACGTCGACGACGATTTCGTACGCCCGTACGAATCGCCCGTACGAATCGCCCGTATCAAAAATGTTAGATATTTTCGGCCGATTATTTACGCCGGCGGAAGATCCGCTGGTCGAGCGATCGATTTTTTTAAACCAATCGGACGTGTTGTTGATATCATGTGATGCATCATGTGATCATGTGATCCCGTCGAGTGGCGTACGCGTAAGCTCACAAATTCGCTACGTGTGCCCCTTCGTGATCGGGCGTATAAATTCGCTGGCGATTTTAATCGTCGCGATCGGGCGAAAAAATACGCTTGTGTGCCCACAGCTTTAGAACGCCGTACGAGTTGCGCGTACAGCTAGACACACACTGCGATTTTGTACACTGGCCGTGTTAGCATGTACAGTAACAGGTGAAAATAAATAAAGTCAGAATTAACAGTGTGTGTTAGGCGGGAGGTTGTACATATTCAACTCGAATTAAAATCAAATTTGCTGAAATTCTACAAATAGCCCATCTATAAATAATGTATAAGTAATTAAGGGCTGCTGTCATACTTCTAGGCACAACACTGCCATACGAAATCGTCAACTAAATAATGAACATAATTCGATGTATTGAACTGTTTATATGTGAAATTACCAGTCATCTCCAGTAGTTGTGCTATAGCATTTAATGCTGT